GGCAGCCCGCCGGGGCGCTTGGCTTGGGCCTCGGGCTCGCGTACCGGTATTGCCGCCAGCGTGAGCGGGTACAGCCGCCTGCGTCTCTCCTCGTCTTAGTTGGCCTCATCCAGGGTCTCGCCTCGGCTGTCGAGCCTTGCTAGCCCTGAGTTTTTTTCCAGGAGCTCTGATTTCCACGGTCTTCTCCCCTGCCCTGCTGCCTAAAACCACTACTGTGCTGTACTCGCAGAACTAGGAGGCTTTGATCGTATTAAGCTTTGACAGTACACAAGTCAATACATATGATTTAGGTGGTAACAAATTATATATATTTTTTAAGTCTATTTTCTGAAGTGCTGTACAATGAGATAGTATCCTCAGGTCTTAAGACTGGGTGCTCAGAAACCATACTGAAGTAATCTGGGCTGCTACCTTCAGCTAGGTCAATAGGGTTCACTCAAAGGGCAAAAGCAATCCGGCTCCTTCTATAAGCAAGTTTATGGAAGTTTGTCTCTGTTTTCCCAGTCACCTATTTTTAAGTTTATTAGTTAAAGAATTTAATTTTCTGCTTGCAGGTTCAGTCTAAGCCTTAGCAATCTTGTTTCTCCCTGCTTTTTTCCAGTTATGACAGTTTTAGTAGGGGGATAGGTAGAGGAGTTTTTTGCTTGGTAGCAGTCAGAACTGGGAGAGGAGTACATCTCAAAAAGTGAACTAGCATGTGAGAGACTTCAGTTTTTCTTATTTAAAGAGCTGGACTGAGCATCAAACATATGCAAAACAGAAGCAGTTCTTTCTAGTTGGTTGAAATGAGCACAAAATATTTGCAAATCTGAACAGTTACGCTTCAAACTGTTAGCTCCAAAACTGGTTTTGTCAGTACTCTGTCATTCAGGTTGTAATTGAAATTGTGGGTAAAATACTTTCCCTCTTCCCACTCAGATCTCGTGTGAAATTCATCCTAGGAAGTAGGAAGCATAAGTTGTATTAACTGGAAAAGTTTAGATATCTCATAACAGCATCAGCAGAGATAGATCAAACACTTTCTATGGACAGTCTTTCTCCATTTTCCTGCAGGAGAGGTCTGCAGCCTGGCAGCACATAGCGAGACAGGTATCTTAAGCATTATCTGAGGACCTGGAGTTACCTTAAGTCCTCAAAGATGACATGTGACTTGAAGCACGTCTTATGAGGAGCACAGCAAAACACTTGCTACCCACACAAATCAACATACTAGGGAAGCAGTACAGGGAAGCAGCATCTGGAAAGCAACGTAGTATAGATAACAATCAGAAGAATCAGTGTCTGTACTGGTACCAAGAAAGTCAGTCTTCTGTTTCAACAAGAAAGTGAAATACTTCTACAGAAAGAATGTTGAGAATGGGTGAAAGGAAGCAGAAGTGGTGTAGAAATAAGATTTGTTCAGGTCTTATTGCAGACAGGTCACATTCTCCCCAGTTAAGTAAGGTAAACTGAGTAACTTCAGCAAAATGCACTTAATTATAAAAGTAGTCTTATTAAAGGCATGACAAATTCTCATGATAAGATGGTCTGATTGACTGAAGCACATCCAGCTATTCATTTCTTACTGCACCAATAATCAAATGTAAAAAAAAAAAAAGGAAGTCTTAAAACTGTACTCTTCCAAAGATTAACAGGGTCAATGCGCTATTCTTACTGTGCTGGACAAAATACATACAGCTCTATCACTGCTGTGATTCCTAGAAGAGGTTTAATTACAGTAAGTGAAATAATTTTAAAATAAACTTTTAAAGCAAATCTAAAAATGCCCTAAGTTACAATGTCCCAAACTTATTTAACAATGAGCAGAAGAACAGGTGTTCCACAGGTATTCTAAATCAATAGTGAATTAATCCACACATCCTTTGCCCAGTCATTACAAATTCCAAACTGGAACATCACCTTTTCAAACCAAGACTCCCAAATTTTCATATCCACACAATGTTCAAGAAATGTCTATTCCACCGTATTAAAAAAAAAAAGCTTTAATGCACTAAAAAGTTTAAAAAAAACAAGAAGAAAACGACAAACAAGCTAAAAGTAGAAAAATACATTGTAAAACATTTATATTTTGTTCCTTACACTGATCAAGATACAACAAAATATTTTAGATTAGACCACTTTAATAAATTCATGGCATTTTCAGAAGTGAACAGTTATCGACTCAATAGTCACCTGGTTAGCCACTAACCAGCATCCAGTGAAGACTTCTGGTAATCCCAAACATCCAGTATATTTTAAATTTCTAGAAATTGTGTGTAGATATTAAGCTTTGATTACTGGAAGAGTCCAAAAATAAGTAGAACTATTTTAAGTTAGGTTTGAAAGTCCGTCAATATCCCTCCTATGTTATTACAGTAAGCCAATCTTTTGTAAGGAAAGATTTTGTGGATTCTGGTTGCCCCACATATACAGCGAGAATGTGTTTCTGCTCCAAGGTGTGGGACGCAGTCCTAGCACCCACTACCTGGCTTTTGCTGTCGCCTTGCATATATCCCTAAAATTGACATGAACCATGATGCAAAAAAAAAAAAAAAAAAAAAAAAAAAAAGGATGAAAAAAGCCAGCAATTTGAAAAAGAGGTATTATCTAATAAATATCGAAAAAGAAAGAATGCACTTTCCACTTAATGGTGCTGAACCTATTTTTAAACCCTCCTTGTAGTCTATTTTTCTTTTCCCATACAGTACAAGTTTGTGTTGCAGGCAGGACCGCTTCTGACCAGTGGGTGGTGCTGATCTCAAAGCAATAATAGCATCATACTCCACTCTCCCCTCATCAAGCTTTAAAAAAATATATTTCATTTATGTTTTATTTGGTCAGTTTCATTTGGAAAACGTATTTGCAGCATCTCCCCAGCATTGTTCCACCAGAGTAGGAAACTGCTGCTTTTACGGAGCTTGTCTGGATTAGACATAACGCTGGTAAAAACCGTGTAAAAAAAGTTAGTGGAAGGTCTGTATGTAACGGTAGAAGAACGGATGGCTATTACAAAGCACTCTTAAAACTGGTATTAGAGGAAAAACAGACTCCACTTCAAATAGACAGGTCTGTTATTACTATTAAAATCTAATTCATATACATGCATGTATAAATACATCCACCCATGCATTCAAACCCAAGTAGCACTGCCATTGGTAACCTATAAGATTTATACAAACTAAAACTAGGTTGCATTCTCATTTTAGGGCTGAGATATAAACCAGGTTTTATACTCTGGCTTCCCCTGACAAATTTTGCAGTGCATGACAGTTTTGTGTCTAATTCCAGATGCCATGTTTCCTAAAAAGCAACATTTTTTGCACCTATGAGGTCTATGAGAATATCGGTTTTCTTTGTTTTGTGCATCACACGTTGCCAAGAGTCAGTTGTCCCAATTGGCACTTAAGACTGAGAACAGAGTTGCAGGAATTGCCACTAAAGTGTGATGACTGTTCCATCCTCCTCGATACCTCCTCTGGGGATAACCAGACTGTGCCGGGGGTCAGTTTTTAAGGAACTGAGTAATTTGTGGATGTTGCCATTGCTTTCTCGGCCAGAGCTGCTGTTGAGCGCCAGGTCCCTTTGAAGTCTGTGGCTAAGACTGCTGCCATTGATTCGAGAGAGGCTACTAGACATAAGGCTGTGCAGTTTAGGAATGTGCTGTGGCTCGAGACCGCCCTCGATGACAATGTCAGCCTCTTCATCGCTCTCCATTTCATCAGGGTGGAAGTTTTGCAGCACGTGGGATGTAGGCAAGCTATGGTGACTAGCAGTGCTGTCTGTAGACTGGCCAGAGCTACCAGACATCCTACTGCTTCGAATAATATTGTTCCTCTGGTTTGCTGGTTTGACCGTGATAATAAGATTATGGCTGTTAGCAATCATCATGTCTGTGACTTGGTCAAGAGTCTTTCCTGCTACCTCAATACCATTAACTTCCAGGACTTCATCATTCACAGCCAGCAAGCCTGTGCTCTCCGCTAAGCCTCCGGGAACCATACGCGAGATGAAGATACCAGGTACTTTTTCTAGTCCATGAGGAGTAACCCTTACGCTGGTGCCATCGCGAATGTAAAATCCTAACGGTTTCTCACAGCCATGTCGATACAGCCTCACTCTCCTGTGTGTTTCAGGAAGAATGTCCACATCAATTATAGAAGATACCGGTCTAAAATCATGAGGCATGCTGATGTTAATGTGAGGGCGCCGGCGAAGGTTGTCATTGCGGAGTGTCACTAGAGCCTTCTTCTTCCTTGACAGCGTGTTGGTACCAAAATTACTGTAGTCCACTTCATCTGAAAGAGAAACAATACCATTGTATCAATCAGAGAACAGTTCAATCTAAAGGGCATTTTCCTCTTAAATCTGGTTCCGTGAAGTCACATTCCTCAAAACACGGAGGACATCCAGTGAATTCTTCCACTTACCCTAACCCTTGTTTCATTTTATGCCCATCCGCACATCATTCAGACTGAACTGTTTTCAATTTCTTTTTTTGTTTTTTTTTTTTGGGGGGGGGGGGGGGGGGGGACGGGACGGGACACGATCCTTTTGATTTTTAATTCCTGTTTTCAGTTGTGCAGAATACAATTACTTGCAGCTGCAAGCCTGATATACCATCTTATATCTGAGACCATGTTTTCAGAGTTGGATTGAAATTTTATACATGCATCTCAAACAGGCAAAACACATTCCTAACCTAAAAAATCTGAAGTGGAGAGTATTTCAATATCCAATACATAGACTTAACTGAAAGCAGACCTTAGTACAAACGTGAAGGCAGGATGGGCAAGAGGAGTTGGGTTTGTGCTTAGCCTTTTTTTTTTTTTTTTTTTTTAGGAAGAGATTTATGTTAATATGTCTCTTTCATCACAGTATTTTTCACTTGGGAATCTCTTTATTAATTTCAGCTGAATTTGACAGCAATAAAAAGTGCTAAAAATACCAAACTCCAACATGTTTGGTGAAAATCAATGTCCAGATAAGAAGAGAAAGGAGGAAAAAAACTGCTATATTGCCCATCCTATTTGCTAGAGATCAGAGAACCCACATTCCTACCCTTGAGGATAAAACCCACAGGAAAACAGTCTTTGTGGGTTCTACTGTTTGAGAAATTGTTTAAAATATTTCAGTCTCTAGCTTTCCCTCAAGGTCATGTGCCAGGCCATCAACTTTAAATCAGCTAAGTAGCACGAAAGTGTCCACTGACCAGTTATTCCATGCAAGAACCTTGAGTTGTGAAATACACGAATACATACATTACAAAGTTGTTAACATACAAAACGTATCGCAGGAGTTTACCTTAAGGACACTGTGCATCATGTTTTAAACATGTGACATGCACTAGCTGAAAAAATATTTCACCAGGAGTTTAAACATGCTAACCTTCTCAGATAAAAGGTAACAGACCTTCAGTTTATTCTACTGTTAAGCAGTGAAACGGAAGAGTACTATGATAATTTTTGCTCTCCTATATTTTGATCCTGCATAATAACTTCTAAGAGAGTAAGACAATACCTCTAATCCAACAAAGATTAAAGTACGTTAGTAAAAACAGGTTTGCAATTACATTTTTACTTCTTGCAAAGGCCTCATTTCTGAGTCAGCTTTTCAGGCACATTATGGACAGATTTCAATTAAGTCACATTAAATTACATAACTCTTAAACAAGCACACTGATCTAACTGGGCCTGCTTTAAGGCAGGGCATTGGATTAGATGACCTTCCAGAGGTCCCTTCCAACCTAAATTATTCTGCGATCTTACATTAGTCTTAAAATGATTTTCAGCTCAAAAGCCTTCAGAAAGGCTAGTTCTGCATTATCCCACAACTTCTTTGCACTGGCTATGGTAAAAGCAAAGACATCACAAGGCATCTAAAAGGTTACCCTGAAGAAAAAACCCTCTGTGAAATAAAGATACTCCTTGGAAAAGTTTGCAGTGTTTAACCTAACGCTTTCTTCTGGTCTCATTCTTAGACTGTTCAAAGCTACACCAGTGGTACAGGCCCCATGTTATTTAGTCCACAGTTTCCTTAGAGCTAAACTCATAGGCAGTTCCTTTGCCAGTGATGGCACAGCGACTGGTGAGACAGGAAAGGTAAACATGGAAGTCCTTAAAATTACCCAAACACAAAAAGCTCCTATTTCTTGGAAGTGTCGTCACAGCCAAGACAGTGACTGTGGGAAGACGGCACTTCCTCAAGTTTGTCCTGCGAGCATTCAGAGTCAGTGCTGCGTTTAAGTGGCCTGTATATTCAAAACAACACAGCGGCCAAAGTTAGATATTACTTCTATTCCTTCATCAACAGAATCGTTACCTAAATTCAGCTAGAACTGAAGCTTTGCTCAATTTCTTGATGGATGAGTTTGAAGGTTGGCAGCAAGTATTTTTTGCTCATAGAGCAGGGGTCCATATGAGATTACTTTAATCAATACCGTCTCAAACACTACACCCTACTCGCTCACAATTCACTTCACTTTCTGTGATAGTGCTAGGAAAAGTTTTAGGAGTTCAGTTTTAGAAATAAAATTCTTCCTCACTTTAAATTTAGCACTGTAGAATAGCAGTACCGTGCCTTAAACCCCAGGACAACCTTTACCCTAAACTTTCAGTTTAAGATGGTAATTTAAATAAAATGCGGTTTTATGCATTTAAGACTGTCTCTTGCAGTACCGGAAAGCCAAATTCAAAACAAAATCTCCATACCTTTAAGAGTCAGAAAAGGCAATTGGTAGCGTAGTTTATTGCACCAGCACATAAATATGAAACACATGCCCAAGGCATCTCTCCGTTCCCTGAAAATACCCAGGGAAACATCTTCCTCCCTCTCCCTCTCTGTCAGAATATTAAAACTGAATGATTTTAAGGCAGGCTTGCAAAAACTCTACCAAATCATCCACCTGGGAAGACTCAGACGACACCGCTTTCCTTCCCTTAAGATAACATATATAAAGGACAATCTAGAGAGTTAATTCTCACAACACGCAAGTTTGTGATGAGCAAGTATTAATGTCACAGGTAAGAAAGGGAAGCATGATGGGCTTCCTGACACGCAGAGATGGGTCATCTCTGAAGCAGCTTCTTTCTGTTCTCTGAACAGCCATGACGGCAACGGCGCAAAAGTTGTTTTGCTTCTCTGACCTCCTCACCTGCACTCAGCCCACTAATATGTCTCCCCAGATGCTTGCCAGCATTCCTAACCTCTGAGCAGCTTCAAAACAACTGCCTTTTAATAATAATAAAAGGCCCAGCTTACCAAAAAATTGGTAGCTTTCCCTCCAAACACGAACCAGACAGAAGCAGAGATTACATTACAAATTATATAGGCTATATTCACTACTGAACCACTCAGAAATTTCACGTTTAGTATTCCAGGGCTAGACAAGGTTAAAAATGAATTCCATGTCCTGCTGATGAACTGGACTTCTTTGGTTTCTAAAACAACGTCAGGTAGTACTTTCCAACTCTGATCCTAAACAGGATTACATAGAGAAAGATGAAGCCCCAATTTTAACAGGTAAGACTGTTAAAAGCCTATTAAAAGTGGGAAAAATGAGAGTTAATTTGGAGACTCTTCAAGGCAAAATACCAACTCTATTTTCAAGAAAAAGTTCAAGTAGAGAACACATGTTCCCTGACTTTTATTATTATTGCTTTTTGGATGATTATCGATACTTGGGACTACTTGGCACTACGCTTTCTTGGGACTTCACGTATGCAAAAACCAGAAGCACCTCCCCCCCGCCCCCATTCAAGCCTCCACTTCTGCTGCAGGAAAAAAGCAAAGTAGCTCTACTGAAGTTTGACATGAGCTGCTGCTGTGGTGTCAACCCCAGGCACAATGAAACCAAATTTCCTTCCTCACCAAGGAGGAGAGCTCTGCCACCACTCTTCTTCCTTTTAACAATTCCAGGGTGGTCAAACTGTGCTTTATTACCAATTTCTAGTAATAAACTATTCAGGTGGTATGTGTCAGACTGGAGTGAAAACTGTATCATCGTATAATTTAGTGATACTCATTTAATAAAGGCCAGTGACTTTTTAAATAGATGTTGAGTTTCTTCACCAT